TAAAAAAATAAAACCCTGAAAGATTGAATGGTATGTCATTATTTCTACCTCCTTCGGTTAAACAACAGAATATACACATGAAATTACAGTTCACAAGGTAACAAACTAACAATAGGATATAAAAAATATAGAGTGAATAATGGTTTACCTCCTAGTCTAAAATAACCAAAAATAATTGAGAGGTGTGTGTAAATAAAAAGCCTAAAATGGGTTATGGGGGCGTAACGTAGGCTTCGAACCTTATCAAGATTGTTAACCCAACTTTGATTATAATTATTTTTGTTGCTCTTTGGTTGGTTAAAAGTTTCAGTTTGTTTCTATTACAAAGGACCGTGCGGATGTTTCCTTTATTAACCTTCCATACAGTCTACTCAACTGCATGGTGTGCTACAGGGAAGGGTGTGGTGGGGGAGACCACACCAGTAGAGCAGAGGTAGTGTGGGGGTGGGGGTGAGGGGAGGCGCCTTCAATCGCGGATAGCTTCTGAATAATGCATACATGAAAGGGATAGGGAGCAGCGGGCGGGAGTGAGAGAGACAGAGGTGGGGGTGGAAGAGAAAGTAGCTGGCTGTGCGGCCAGTGTATGGGGCCGCCACATGCACCCCACGCACACTCTTACACCATACAAAAAGGTGGTCCGAAAGCAACGATATCACCAATAAAATGTGGGCTGGATCGTACAGGGCGCAGTGCGGATGGGTGGAGGGGGAGGGGGGCGAAAGGATTCGTATTCCAATGCGACAGCCGCGGGCGGCCGGGCCGGGGTCCGGGGGCGGTCCAGGCCGGGCCGGATTGCACCTCGAGGCCCCCCTGTTCTTTGTGGCGGGCTCGCCCCCCATCCCATGCGGCATGCTCTTGGCAGTGTGGGAGCGTGTACAACGAGACGAGCACCGCCTCCCTGGAGTCTCCAGCGACACTGCCGGAGGAGGGACGTCTCAGAATGCCGCGGCGCAGCGTCAGCGGCACTACTCCAGGACCCGGCCCGACCCGACCCCTGCTGCTGCTGCTGGCCGACCACGGCTGGCCGTTGTGGGGGCGGGGCGGGGGGCGCCGCCGGCTCCCCTTAGTGCTCGCCAACACGTAAACGCCATCGGTCTGCTGCTGCTGCCGCTGCTGCCACCCCTCCCTACGGACCCTCGCCACGTACCACCTGGAGAATATCAGTGCGCCCTGGTACCCCGCCACGCCGCGCCCTGCCCCAGCCCCAGCGTGTAGCCGTAGCCACGGAAGACTACAAAGAACAACACCTGCGGCGTCACGCCAGGTCCCAACCTCGGCAGCCAGCAGCAGCAGCAGGACCGCGCGCTCCCGACAAGGAGAGGAGTCTGCACCAAGTTCCTCAAAAAGCGATACGCAATTGAAACGCTTTCTAGGTTCCGCGGCCATATAGGCCCTGGCCAGTCGTCGACAAGGGGGTCCCACCCCCGCCGCCGCCGCCGCTCCGCGCTCCCGGCCCAGCCCGCCTCTCCCAACCTCCTCCTCCTCCTCCTCCCCCTCTCACAATGCAACGCGGTGCTGCACGTGTGCCTGGCCGTAACAGTTACTGCTACCGTTACGCTGAGTGGAGTGGGCCGTGCCGGGCCCGGCCGGGCTGCTGCGCGCCGTTTCACGATCTGCTCCCCGCCGCCTCCACCCCCCCTCAATTAGCGTAAGGCGGGCGCGGGGCTGGAGGGGCGCGGCCGGCAGGCCAGGCCAGGGTCGGGGGCAGGTGGCATCATTTTATCGCCACGAGCGCCGGCGTGTCAGTCACATTGATTGTGTAGCGGACCCCGGTGCTGCTGTTTGGGTGAGTCGGAACGAACCCGAGGGGGGGGGGCAGTGTCACTAGCGTTGCTGGCGGGCATTGCGTTGATTGCGGTTTGCTGGAACGAGCTTTTCTGAGAGAACCGTCGGCGCCAATGTTCTCAGAAAACCGCCCCGTCAAACTGTTTCACCGAAACGCACGTGACTATAGGACCTCTTTGAGGTGAGTGACGACGTTTGATGAAGAGCCAAATTTATTTACTGCACCTGAACAATGGCAACGGTCGAGATTTCAGTTTCTTCTCTTCCGCACGTCGGGCACGACGCCACTGTGAACTCGTCTGTGGCGTGCCTGCAGAACACGATGCAACCGCCTCCTCCGAAACTCGCCCCCACGTGGAGCGACTTGGGGGCGCGGAGCACCAGGTCCTGGCAGTCTGCACAGGGAATAAGAGGGTGTCAACTCGAGCCTCCAAGAAGGACAAGGATAGCTCCGCTGAAGGCGACGTCTTACCTCGGAAGCCGGTATAGTCGGCCGGCGAATCCATGTCAAATCTTCCCTTTTCCTGGAAGACGAGGAGGGTGAGGTTAGGAATGGCGGAGGCTGGGACGCGGGAGAGCTCCTGAAGCGGGTCGTCGAGGCCGCCGACGATCAGCGTGCGGAGGTTGGGCAGGCCGGCGAGCGCCACTTCCAGTGACCCGAGAGCCCACTGGTTAGTGTACCCACAGAACAGCAAGATATACCGGAGGCTTGTAAGCCCGATAGATCCCACGGTTTGCAATGTCTGATCACAGCAAAGTAAGAGGATGAGGTTTTCCAGCGGGGACCGGCATGACTTCAGCAACGTATCCACCTGCTCGACCTAAGAACGACGACTATGAGTCAAAAAACGTCGTAGAGGGTAGGTGGCCGGGCATGGGGCAAAGAGTAACTAGACAACGGATAAGTCACCTGCTCGTCACCCAACTGTAAGATCGTGAGTCGATTAAGTCCGCGCAATCGCTGTAGTCCTGAGCCCACGTCAAAACCCTGTCGGGCGACCACAGTCATCTGCTGAAGTCTGCTGGGGCATGAGTCCAGAAGGGGCAGCAGTTGCGACGAGATCCTCACGTCACGCAACTGTCGCCTGCAACCAAATCGGAGGGTTTAGTTCACCCGAACACCGAAGGAGAAGATTGAAAAGGGGTGGGGTTAAGTGAGTAGTTTTGACAAAAAAGAAGCAGAAAAGTAACCTGTGCGCTAGCAGTATCGAACGGAGGGCGTCAAGCAAAGTGGAATGTGGCCCAGATTTCTCTTCATCCTCGTCATCGTCTGTCAGAATTGACAACAGCAGTATAATGGTGTTCAGCCTGGGCAGCACTACGGTCTGCGGACAGGGACCGGAATAAGAGAGACATAGTACAGCGGCGGTCGGGGCTTTCAAACGAAGCGACCGCTTCCACACGGCCGGAGACGACCCTGTGTAGTTACACAGTTAGTTGTGGCTGCAGCCGACAACCGACACGATCGCGGGCAGAAACGGCCTGTGGACCAACGACAAAGAGAACAGAAATGTAGCTTATAGCTCACCTGTGGCCATTTGAAGGCACATCTGTCGAAATAGGATACCAAGGACAACTCGATAGACTTTACGGAGAGGGCTTCTTGCAGGCTGCTGAGTATCCCCTCCAGTCCATGATCGAGCCTTGAAATCCCCACACGCTGCAGTCGGCCACCAAGCTCCCGGATAATGGCAGCGCAGCACTCCACCGTGCTGCCCTTCACCTCCATTTTCAACACGTTCGACTTCTTTCTGAGGGAGCAGACAAAAAAAGGTGCCCTAAAGCGCTGTTTCCACAGAGCACGCCGCGCACTCGTCACCGGATTCTCACCTCGTCAAGCTCACGACATAAGGTGGAAGGAACAGAGGACGTCGAACTTCATAATGCAACTCGTCCACGGGCGGCGCCACACGCAGCAGGGCCAGGATGCTACCGACGTCCCCGAAGTACAGCTTGCCACTACTGCCACCGTTGTTCCCGTCCGCCACCCACAACGACGTGTGCGCCCTGGTGAGCGCACCCAGCCGCGGGCTCGCCTGCCCGACGGCCCACAGGTCCTTGGGCGACAGGCGGGAGAGCACATTCACGAGCGGCACGTCGGGCAGCGACAGGAGAGGCTGCGGCAGAATCGGGTTAAGTGGCAACAGAGTCGGAAACTAACTGAATACAACAGCAGCAAATCAGTCTTTCACATGAGTTCATCCAATCAGGCCTGGCAGACAACTTTGGACAGCATATCACGAGTAAAGTTACGGTGTTTTTCAATGTTCAGTTGAGGCACTTTGAGAGCTAGTTCGCGTGTTACGAATAAGGTTAAGAGTCTTCCAATCTGACTAAAAATGTCAAGTTCACAATGAAATGTTAATACCAATGCCTCGTTTCCCTCTTCAATGGAAGAATCCTCCAACTGCATCCGTGCCCGTTTCCCTCGCGTGAGCATCTCTGACGCTGGCCGCTGACCTGCTCCAAGAGACAAAGGTAACCTAACCTTAAAGCACAAATGTAAACATAGTTTCCGGGCTGGTGGCCCATACGCTTGCCGTTGCAATAATCCAAGTAAGTGCCAGACAAACCTATAATCACCGCCGCGTAAACTTCCTACTACAAACTGAAATTTTATGTGGTAAGTACTGAAAGTATGAGATTCAATCCATCGGTCAGATCACACTTTTGCCGCCACTACTTGCGACTTGCGACTGATCTGATCCACTCGAGTTGGATTCTTCCGATCTCGATCTCGGCTAACTCAATGATATTTACGTGATATTGAAAGGAGTGAACCATCCGGTATTTCAGAGCTGCGGCTAGGAGCTGGTTGAAAATATAATTTTGTGAGTTTGACAACATGAAAGACAAAATAGGGCAAAAATTTTGTTCTTTAGGGTAACTTGCCCTACTTGCTCTGTTTCCGGTCGTGCGGTAGTGCTCTGTTTACTTAGCGCCAGCTTGGAGTATCTCATGGGGACACATATTGACTTTGGCAAGTCAAGCGGCAGGAG